GATACCACTTGAGCCTGCGATGTTTTTGGTCAGTATTCCTGACCAATCGCTTAATACTTCATAAAGGCAACAGACTGAAGGCAAAGTGGAAGTCAAGTCCGTTCTGCGCATCGGTTCTGCTCATAACAATGTTTTCGAAATGTTTCGAATTTTTCTGAACATAAACTCTCATATTCATTTAGAAGCATAGCGAACCAAAATGGTGTTAGATATTCAGACAGTACATCATATTTTAAAAAAATACAGGAGTTCAAAATGTAAACAAACCGTTTGTTTACATTACGGACTTGACTTCCACTTTAACAAAAACATGTAGCTAATTAGCAATATACGGTATTTAAGAAAAACATTGAACACCTTGATATTGTTTAGATTTAAAATCATAATTGCAAATGTTATGTTCGATTATTTTGTAGATACTCCAGTTAGAGTATTCTTTGACTTGTTAACATTAATGTTCTTGTTTTAAAAGTTATTTTAATAAATGGAAAAAATTGAGTATCGGTATCGATTTTGGTATCGGTATCGACCAAAATTCATGGTATCGTACTGGTATCGTATCGAACCCAGCTGGTATCGCCCATCACTACCAGGCTGGCTTGAATACATATAATCATTCCCTTAATAGACAGTAGCTCCACATAATACATATACAGTATATAATTATATATAAATATATATACAAGAACAAGATTATAAAACTCCAGACTTTTCAATGTCAAACAATATGACAGTAAAACAATTATCCCAAATGCACATTATAGATTTGGAGTTCGTCACTTCGACTTTGACTCCTTATTTAATATACATCTCTCACCATGCATTTATAATATATTTTAAATACATAATTTATTAAACAATGGTACAGCTGGATACTTACTGTTGAGCAGCGTCTTCCCACAATTTGAACAAAAATTTGTCTTGTCTGGGAAATGCTCCCTACAATGGCAACACGATTTCACTGTTAATTTCAAGACTCACATTTTTGAAACCAGAATTTATCTTCGAAATATTTTCTTTTATTAAATTTTATGCTTTTCGAATTTCGATATTCCTCGTCGAGACAGACGTTCTCGTGGTCGTGGTGTCATGAAACTATTCCCCCCCCCCCCCGTGACCCCGTCGGCTGAATAAACTAATCCTAGCCGGGGGGGGGGGTGTTTTCTATTTTTAGAAAACAATGTTTATTGCATTTCCTTGCAGCACAGTCGCATGTCCATGCAGCACAGTCGCATGTCCATGCAACACAGTGGCGTTTCCTTGCAGCACAGTCGCATTTCCATGCAGCACAGTCGCGTTTCCTTGCAGCACAGTCGCGTTTCCATGCAGCACAGTCGCATTTCCTTGCAGCACAGTCGCATTTTCATGCAGCACAGTCTCATTTCCATGCAGCACAGTCGCATTTCCATGCAGAACAGTCTCATTTCCATGCAGCACAGTCGCGTTTCCTTGCAGCACAGTCGCATTTCCATGCAGCACAGTCATGTTTCCATGCAGCACAGTCGTGTTTCCATGCAGCACAGTCGCGTTTCCTTGCAGCACAGTCGCATTTCCATGCAGCACAGTCGCATTTTCATGCAGCACAGTCTCATTTCCATGCAGCACAGTCGCATTTCCATGCAGAACAGTCTCATTTCCATGCAGCACAGTCGCGTTTCCTTGCAGCACAGTCGCATTTCCATGCAGCACAGTCATGTTTCCATGCAGCACAGTCGTGTTTCCATGCAGCACAGTCGCGTTTCCTTGCAGCACAGTCGCATTTCCATGCAGCACAGTCATGTTTCCATGCAGCACAGTCGTGTTTCCATGCAGCACAGTCGCGTTTCCTTGCAGCACAGTCGCGTTTCCATGCAGCACAGTCGCATTTCCTTGCAGCACAGTCGCATTTCCATGCAGAACAGTCTCATTTCCATGCAGCACAGTCGCGTTTCCTTGCAGCACAGTCGCATTTCCATGCAGCACAGTCATGTTTCCATGCAGCACAGTCGTGTTTCCATGCAGCACAGTCGCGTTTCCTTGCAGCACAGTCGCATTTCCATGCAGCACAGTCATGTTTCCATGCAGCACAGTCATGTCACAGAATAAGGTACACAGAAGGTCGACTCAAGTAACGCTGCCACGCCATGATTCATCATCAAAATGCTGACGCCATGGTCCTAGCCAGTGCGGGTTTGAGAGGCATTCCCCCCCTGGACATCCGCCATTTTGAATGATATCAGGGGGTGAATGCCTCTCAGACGCGCACTGGCTAGGACCATGGCGTCAGCATTTGATGACGAATCACGAGTTACGCCAAAATCATAGGAAAATCATAGGAAAAACGAAGAAGTCGGCCTTCTGTGTACCTTATTCTGTGGTCATGTTTCCATGCAGCACAGTCGTGTATCTATGCAGCACAGTCATGTTTCCATGCAGCACAGTCATGTTTCCATGCAGCAGAGGTGGCCCTTATCGGCCACCGTAAAAGAGGAACGCTTCACGTAGTTTACCTGTAATAGCTGGGCCGAAACGTTCGCTTAAACTTTGTACAGCTGAGTCATAGTCTGTGCCAGTGCTTGGCAATGTATCAAAAATATCATTCGTTGTTTCTCCTACATACGTTAGCAAAAGATCTCTTTTAACGGTTGGATCGGTTTCACGGAGGCTTATTAGGAGTTTTTCAAACCGGCGAAGCCATTTTCGCCATCTAAGACCAGTATTTGTTGGATTTGAAAGCGGGTCAAACGGGGGAAACGGCGGTAAACCACTACGGGGTACTATTACTGATTGTTGTGTTGTAGAACTTGTCGCTGCTTGGGGACTTTCGGGTGATTCGTTTGGCTGATCACCTAACATTTCTTATTGTACGACAAAATTGCTTTAGTTTGTTACCTGAATCTTGTTTTGATGTTCTCTCGATCTCGCGATATTTAAGTTTTTATCCTCGTCGTCACTTTCGTGTCTTGCTTTATATTTAATACATATCAACTCTACTTTGTTTACAAGATATACCGGAAAACTACTGTTAATTATGTTAAGTTATGATAATACATTACTGAGATAAATTAGTAATAATTAATTACGATACGACAGCGCGCAGTAGCGATTTTCCGCAAAACGCCAAAAAGGGTGTCCTGTAACCTTAATAAACGAGCAGGAGCTAGTGTTTTATTAGGTTTAAAGCCACGAGCGCGCAGCGCGATTGGCTTTAGACCTAATAAAACACGACCTGCGAGTTTATTAAACGGCTTCAAACACGACTACAAATTCAATATACTGCCTTATTAGTATTCTTTATATAAAGAATACCAATGAGGACACGACTACAATAGATATACTGCCTTATTAGTATTCTTTATATAAAGAATAGGAATTAGGAGTATTTTATCATGCAGGTTTAAAGCCACTGCACGTGACATATTATGGTTGACATGAGTTGCCAATAAGCTTCAATGCGTAAAGCCAGCTATTAGTCTGGCAATGTTGTATGTGCATGAATGTTGTGGTTTCCCACGTTTAAGATTCCACTCGTGAACGTTATGTAGCGGTTTTTGAGTTGTTTTCAGACGAGTGTATACCAAACCGGGCAAGCAGAAAATTCTACTTCACCGCGGCTGGGATTCAAACCCGCGACCTTCGCATTTCTAGAACTAAATTCGTTCTCAGCTTGACCTTGTAGCTCCACGGTAGAGCATCGTTCTAGAAATGCAAAGGTCGCGGGTTCGAATCCCAGCCGCGGTCAAGTAGAATTTTCTGCTTGCCCGGTTTGGTATACACTCGTCTGAAAACGACTCAAAAACCGCTACATAACGTTCACGAGTGGAATCGTAAACGTTGGAAACCACAACATTCATGCACATACAACATTGTCAGACTAATAGCTGGCTTTACGCATTGAAGGACTAACCTCCGAAATGCAACTAACATCATAACTTAACAAGTCGTTCTCAGCTTGACCTTGTAGCTCAGACGGTAGAGCATCGTTCTAGAAATGCGAAGGTCGCGGGTTCGAATCCCAGCCGCGGTCAAGTAGAATTTTCTGCTTGCCCGGTTTGGTATACACTCGTCTGAAAACAACTCAAAAACCGATATATATATATATATATATATATATATTTATTAAGATGAAAATGTTCTAGAGTGTGTATTATATAATTTCCATACCCAGCGCAAGCAGAAAGATGTTGTCTGCCGCGGCTGGGTCTCGAACTCGCGACCTTCGAATTACTAGATCGACGCTCTACCTACTGAGCTACACGGTCAGACGGATTTAAGACTGGAAATTATGAAATATATACTGAATGTCATAAACATACTCGTTTATATTAATTCAGCATCGACAATACTAGTTCTGCAAGTGTTATGTTAGTTGTGTAATTGTACACTCTGTGATATGTTAAGATGAAAATGTTAGTCTAGAGTGTGTATTATATCATTTCCATACCCAGCGCAAGCAGAAAGATGTTGCCTGCCGCGGCTGGTCTCGAACCCGCGACCTTCGAATTACTAGATCGACGCTCTACCTACTGAGCTACACGGTCAGAGGGATTTAAGACTGGAAATTATGAAATATATACTGAATGTTATAAACATACTCGTTTATATTAATTCAGCATCGAACAATACTAGTTCTGCAAGTGTTATGTTAATTGTGTAATTGTACACTCTGTGATATGTTAAGATGAAAATGTTCAAGAGTGTGTATTATATCATTTCCATACCCAGCGCAAGCAGAAAGATG